AAATTTCAAACCGAAAACACAGCATCCGATCTCATCGGAAAAACTTTGGAACAGGTCAACAGGTGATCATAATAGTGTTAGTTGTACAGTTTAAAAGGCTCAAACATTCAGTCGAAGTTACGGTATCACACAACTGGCTATCGCCGATTTAGTGACTACAGTGCCTGTTGAAAAGAAAGTTCATAGTTGGAAATCTTTCCATGTAATCAGTAGTCAATTAGCATGTTAGTTGTAATGTTGATGAAACAAGCTTTGACACACTTACCGCTGTTTCATTGTACTCATATTTGTTTTATTCAATATTGCCATTGGGAATTATTACGATATTGACAATTCTCTATTTTATGAAACTTGGAATCAAAGTTGTAAGCTAGATTTCTAAAATGTATAATTCAAAGAACGGAGTACATTTATACTTGGCTCAAAAAAAATCTGACCCTTGATTTTTGAAAATATTGTCGTAAACAATAGCGAAGCTATGATTTTTTTAGCACTGGGCCATTTTATAAAAAATGATCTGAAAAGAGTGTTGAAGTATATAGGGTAGAAATTTGGACCCATCCTCTCCCCACAGATCGTGATAGATGGCTACGTGACCTGTCACAGATCGTGATAGATGGCTACGTGACCTGTCACAGATCGTGATAGATGGGCTCTAGAGACCATCACAGACCGTGAGAGGCGTTTTTGATGCATGATTACCGATTATGTGTCAATTAGTTCCCATGAAAGTAACATGTGATGCAAAAGTCTTGGCAAAAATGTCAAACTAGGCTAGACCATACTGCCAGCTTCTAAATCAATCAAATTTTTTTATTGTTGAAAAGAGCAAAGTCTGAACTACAAATTTTGTACCAGACTGATTTTTTCGAACAAATCTACGAAGCAAGAGAAGCTACAATCTAAACACCTCTTAAAAATTTCTTGCAACGTTTTTGCAACTTGAAAAGTTTCTATTTCTCAATTATCTTGAGCTATATAAATCGAATTCTAATTAAAAACTGCATGAATATGTGGCACATCGAAAGTTCTATCGATATCACCTTTAATAAATTTTTTTTTAAGATTAGCTTTTGACTCTTTAATTAAAAAAATAGGAAATTGAGATTTTTGTAAAATAGAGTCTTTTACAAGAACGGTGAGCAGATTTGCGCTAAAACTATCGGATTACCGTTCCGTATAATACAAAACATGATCAGTAATCTTCCAATGGATTCAGCGATTCATCAAAAATTACATATCTTTGCCATAAATCAGACAATTTTTCTTGTCAAGCATGGACACAGAAACTGATACACCGACGACTTAGTGAAAGGATGAGGATGATGAATGGAAAATGATATAAGGAAGCAGCATATGGAGGACAGTTCTTCTTCGAATTATAATCACAAATCAAACGAAAACTTTCTCTTTCCCTTTTTGTTTATATTCGCATGGCTGCTCAGCTGCAAATAATAATTTTAATTCAGAACAAAAAATTTTATTTGACTATCTGATTATTCTAAAAGGAAGGTGTCCATTCAGATTATAATTATAATTCAGATGAGAATTTTATTTTTTTTTGCTGTTTGGCTACTCTAAGAGAACAGTGTCTGTTCAAACTCTAATAATGATTTAGATCAAAGTTTTATTGTTCACTTTTTGACTATTCTAACTAAACATCTGCATTCGAATTATAATTATAATTCAAATAAAAATGTTAGCTTTTTCTGTTTGGCTACTTTAACAGGATAGTCCTTAATCGAATTATTAATACAAAACTTTACTTGTTGACTTTTTGACTATTTTAACAACACAATTTGTGTTCGAATGTATATTATATTTGAATCAAAAATCTTATGTTTGTCTGTAACTGCGATGAATCCAATGAAATTTGAAAAAATTGTTTTTTTTTTGTTTAGACTCAAGTTAGGAATCTACTCACTACTTGAGGACCAAACAATTCGCACGACATCCACGACTACGTAGATAATATGAATACATAGGATTTCCAAAAAGCATGCACTTGCTCGTTGTATTCAGGCGAAATTTTGTGTACTCACGGCCTGGTTTAAACGATAATGCATGTGTGTACTCTTATGCGTGAATAAGGCAATCTTGCGCTCGTATTTACATCGTGAAATAAACTTGGCCTCAGCGCATTCATGCGTGTTAGATATTAAATACGTTTCACATTTGAATAGATTACTCCATTTCATCAGTATATATATTAATTTCATTTTGCTTGTTCTATCGTGCGTCGATCAAGCAGCTTGATTAATGACAAGAGAGATTTGATCTATTACTTTGAAAAATGTGTACTATATCAAGCGTACACTTGCTTTTTTTGCTATAATCATTATACAAAAATGTCTAAATATTGGATTTCACTTGTAATGATATGCAGTTCTATAGAATAATAATGTTCAAACCCAAATCCGAACGTCATTTTCACATATTGACAAGCCAGTAGATGTTCATTACGAGCCGGACAGTGTTCTCAGTTCGGGATCCGGTTTCAGACGTGATTCTGGTATCTAACCTGGATTCAGTAGCGATCGTAGTGCTCATGCCTGCTTCTGAGACGGTCTCCGCACTCATTCAGGATTCAATCAAGATTTTATGCCTTGAAATTGAAATCGATTAAGGAAGGACATATTAATTTTTAAATTTTAAAACATATTCTCTTCCTAAATGCAGTTTAGTTGATAAAAAAAAATGTTTTCTTGTTAATTAAATACAAATAAACATAATTTAACTAATATAATAGAAAATTAATTTATAATAACAAATAAATTAACATAAACAAATAATACGATAAATAAATCTAATTAATAAAATAAAAGATAAAAATTACACTAAATTAAAAATTATTGTTAACGTTTCGGTACAGAATTGACCTTCTTCAAAACTTGTTATTACGTATACTATCGATGTTCGTTTTTTGTATGGATCTGTATTCTTTTCTTTTATTTCGTTTAGTTCTTCCTTTTGATAGTGGTACGGATAGAACAAGACGACACCTAGGTCTTCTCATTCGTAAGGTGCACCAAACGCAAAAACGGACAAAAAAATTGATGTATTTCAAGTTCATTCATTAAAATGGACTTTTTCATGAATTACATTGCATGATTTTGATTAAAAATCAAATTCAGCTACATTTGCTTGATTAAAATGTTGCTTTTCATCAATGAATTTTAAAAACATCAATTTTTATGTCTGTTTCATCATCGAAAATGCCATTTTTTTTCGTGATTTTGATATAAAATTCAAGAAAATCATGAGATTTTTTTAATTTTTTGACTCCCAGGACGGATTGAACATTTACTATCCGATTAGTTTCAATCAATAAGAAAACAGACATGATCATTTTGTTTTTCTATCTCTTGTATAAGCCATCTTATTTTATTAGAGAAACTATCTTAATCCACAATAACTTCGATGGTAAGTACATTATTTTAAGAAATAAATTGTACTACTTTCATTGAGATCTATTTCAAGAGTAATGACACACAAGATATTATTTTACAAGTAATATTCTCTTTCATTAGATTAACGTCAACAACAATTGCAACAATAAATGCTATTTTAAGAACAAAATTGTTTTCTTTCTTTCTTATTTAGATCAATCCCAATGATAGTTTCATCAGTAAATCTTACTGCATAAGATGAATTATGATCTTTTTTATTTAGATTAATCGCAATATCAGATATATTAGTAAGTATTAATTTATAAACTAAATTATATTCTCTCTTTAAAATAATCACAACATCAGTTTCATCAGTAAGTATAATTTTACAATATAAAATATATATTTTTTTTATTTAGATTAATATCAACTATAATTTGAATGATAAGTATAATTGGAAAAAAAATGAATTTTTAAATTTATGGAGACGGGAAAAGAAAAATTCAACTCTCTCATTTATGAGAAGCTCATAAAAAATACAACAATAAATGATATCGTATACGAAAGTTTACAACAGTCATAATTCTTGTACTAGATTACCAAGGAAATCCTTGTCGTATTTCCTCTGAAGTGTTTCAGAGACTCCTTGGGATTCTTCTATTAGAGATTTACCGGAGTTATTCATTCATTAATTTTAAAAAGAATTGTAAATTAATCGAGATCTTTTATGAAAGCTGAGAAAAATTGTCTGTTTAGGCGACTCAATCGTGATATAATATCACAATTAATCAGTCTTATAAATCGCGACAAAATCGCCGATTTTTATGACGTGGGTGGATATGTGTATTCTTTTCATCTATGCCCTCATATAAAACTGTCCTACATGACTCATTTTATTTTTATATTTCATATAGACACATGATAAGTTGGTTAGATATTACTGATTTATCTATTTCACTTAACAGTGATTAATTCAAGACCAAGATGCTCTAAATAATAAATGTTTTCAGTTGTGATTTAGATAAAACTTTTTGTTCTAGTGTAGATTTGACTTTGTAATTGTTGTTTCATAATTTGTTGATCAACGTTTATTGGAAAATTTTTGATTCAAGAGATGCAATTTGTTTAGTCCTTTCAAAAGTGCTCTATGATTATGATGAAGTAGCTTTTCGAATCTATTTTTCTCACAGTAAACATTAAAAACATACAATGTTTCATACTTACTAAATCTGTATTACTAATAGATTTTGATTGTCAAGAAAAGACAAAAAAAAATTTGATGATAATCATGTTATCAACGCATACAATGGACATATAATTATGATTTTAATGAAAAAAGTACAATATATTTGATTCAAAGAACATTATCATGAAAGCCTGTCAAGAAAAATAACTAAATCGTGTTGATTCGCAATAAAGAAATTCTTTTCTAATGTTTTTATATAGTTAATGTAAATAAGAAAATCATTCTAAATATATGTACAATAACTGAATTCAAAAAGTATAACTTAGAAATAACTGTTGAATAAGTATTACAATCCCCGAGAATATTGCATTAAATATTAGATTTAAAAACGGAATGTATCGAAAAATTGAAATGTCTATTTTTATCTAACGATGTTCAGCTAATGGTTGAGCCAGCATATGAATAAGATTATTATAAAAAACACGACCATCAGAAGCAATATTTAATTCACGTAAAATAAGATCGACTATAAATATAAAAATAAATATTAAATAAATTAAAATTTCTTTTTTGTTTTCTTTTCTTACCATCCCTATCTGTTAATTTTTCTCCTGTATGAGTTAAAATATATCTTAATTGTTTAGCATCAATATAACCATGTCGTTGTGTATCATAGAGTTGAAGAGCAGCCATTATTTCATTTGAACAATTTTCTGTTGATCGATGTTCCAAAACAATTTTAAGAAAATCGTCAAATTCAACAACATCAGCATCTTGTTTTAAATATATATGATAAATTAATAGTAAATAAAGATGAATTGGATATACCTTTTTTATATTTATCAAAGTATCGTTTAAGTTCTGTAATTGTTGGTGCCATACTCAATGATCGCATAATAAAACATAATTTATCAGGTGTATCTACATAACCTTGTGGAGCAAATAATTGAAAACATTGACGAAAATCTAGTCATAAAAAATATATATATTTTCAAAATATAATTCTATTCAAATTTCTTACTGTCAATTTCTTCTTCACTAAAATTCTTTGACTAAAATATCGATCAAATCTTTAACTTCTTATATATATAAATCAAAATTATCTCTTACCATAATTGCTTAATTAAATGACTAAAAACAAAAAATGAATCTACAAGTGAACAGATACGAATAAAAAAAAAAGAAAAACAAGAGTGGCAAGAAAAAAAAATCATTATAATTATAATAAAATAATCAGAATATTTTATTAACAATAATAGCCCATGAAAACTAGCAGTCCTACGAATGATTAATTTATTGACCCAATTTGGCGAGCTAAAATTACAGAAAAAAATTACTCATTAAGAAAAAAAAAAGAATTCTTTTAGTTTTATCTACGTGTTCAAGAAATTGTGAAGCATTCACAAGTTCTGTACATCCATAAACAACATGTTTCGTTGCTATTGTTGATCGAGTTTTAGCATAATCTTGTAAATTTTGATATTCAATATAATTACCACCACCAATCATAAAAACAATAGCATCATTAAATCCTTGTCGATTACGAGCAACATTCATACTAAATATCATAAATAAAATTATAGTTTATGTTTTATTTTTTTGATTAAACATCAATTAAAATGTTAGTGCTAATTCACCAAGTTTTTTCTATCTTACGTATTCTCTGTTGAACGATTACTATAGTAAATATAAATTTATTGATTTCTTTGAAGTTTCATTTCTTTTTCGTTTAAAAATTTTAAATAGAATTTTTATTTACCTATCTGCTGATCGAAGAAGTTTAGGATCAAAATATCGATAATCATCAGTTTCAGGTGATGAACGACATTCCATTAAATTATCGACGATTTTTGTTACTGGTAATTTCTTAAATATAAAATAATAATAATAAATATAAGTAATATAAATATTAAAATATATTTACATATTGCTTTACAACGAGATTTTTAACTCCTTCCATAGCAAATTTTGATGCTTTGTTTACCAGATTTGAGAACATTCTAAAAGATATTATTATAAATCAAAGATTGATTGAAACGATCAAAATGTTTTAAATCTATTATTTGACAAAAATACAAATGATTTATTATTATTATCTTTTATTACTTCTCATAATGTTTAGTGTTAGTTGCAATTTTCACGATTTGATAAATCATCATCGAAATATACAAGGACTTGACACTATTCAAAAGTGTTTAAAACTTAAGAGGAAAGTATTCAAGGTGCCAAACTTCATTTGAATTGATTTCATACTTTATTCATTAGAGCATATTGAGATAATTAAAAGCCTGAAAGGGTTTAGCTCAGTGGCCTATTGAAAAAGACTTATGGCTGTTTTACTGAAATTTCATCTACAGGCAAATTTAATAGTCATTAGGTTTTTCTTAAAGTTTCAACAAAAATCAACATGCTTTTCTCGAAATATTCAATTTCTAAATAGAGTTGTTTATTGTATTCTTCTATGATGAGCCGCTATTTTTCTGGAAATTGAATATCTCGAGAAAGGCTTATTCGTTCTGGTTGAAACTTCCAGGACTATCTATTGATTCTATCCATAGACAAAATTTTCGCTCACAATTCTTCATTTTGATTTCTTCAGAAATATTACAGGTCTTAACAAAAAATTCTAGTGGAAGGCCATAGACCCAGACTCTTTTAAGCTTTCTCTTACCTCAATATACTCTATCAAATGAGGTATGAATATATCGAAACGAAGCTGAGTACTTCTCTAGTTTGATTGAACAAAAATAAAAATGAAAGTTGAGATATGAAAAATAAAAATTCTTTCAAAAATTAATCCAAACTATAGTTCTAAAAAGACATTCATCAATCCTTTGAATCATTCGTACAAACAACATACAATAATCGATCAAATAAATCACCCAGTCATAATATTCTTAAAATGATCAATATAGGAAACTTTGTATTCAAACTTATATCTCGTAAAAACTCATCCTTGAACTAAGAAAACATGGCCCATGCAAAAATTACAACGAACTAAGCGCAAATTTTAAGCCATTTAAAACAGAATTACGTGATTGAAATATTTTTGAAAGCACTTTTCAAATGGCTTGCAACAACTGAAAAAGTCAAGACTTCAGTACTTGTTAGCTACTGAGAATTTCAATGTTGCACAGCAGTTGCTAAGTGCTTAAATCGTTTCAAAAGTGAAAATTAAACTATTTTAATCTAGATTACCCTTGCTGAACTATTCATATGAGAAATTAAAAAATTGTTAAAGTTCTACAAAACATTCTTCTATGAACTCTATGATATTTTTTCATACCCCATTGTTGTTGTTCCACCTTCTCGTGCTTGTGAAACAACACTCATTTTACTAATTGACTTCCAACGTTTAATATATGTTATTGCATCCAAATGTGTACAATTTGATCCTCTTAATATTGTTAAATATTGATCAAGTTCAGTCTAAATAAAAAGAAAAATATCAAAATAATATATTTGAATTAATAGTTTTTGTACTTGTGTCATTGTCGGTGTACATAAATAATGAATTAAAAATAGACGAAGTTTATCTTCAGGTGAACCAGCTGAAAACAAAGAAAAATATTTGATTATTTTTTTTTTTTGTATTTTAATAAGTTACTTAAAATAAATTAAACTGTTTGTATTTCGAATATTTCCCAACTATTCTTCATTTGATCAAAACATCTTTTTTTATCAAAATATAACGCTTGAAAACTTCCTACAAAATTATGCATAATTGGAACTAAAAACTATTCTAGATATATTTCAAAAAGTTGTAAAAATAAATATGAAAATAGTGATGAACCGGCGAAAAGTTTTCATAATTTGACTGGAGTGGTGTCAATATAAATAAATAAACTATGAATAAAAATGATCACCAACACTAGCTCTATCAATTTGTCACATCATCCTGGTCATTAATGCATAGTTCGAACAAAAGTGAATGTCTCAAAGGTAAAATGGCATCTACTTTCCAAAAAAATTGCCTGTTGAAACAAAGCACGTCCTGCTGCTATCGGATGAAGATCTTGGCTATTTCCCATAGGAAAAGGTCAAAGAGTCGACCATGACTGGTCTGCATAAAAAGAGCGGATCAATTTTGCAAATCTGATGTTAGCGGAATATTTTCAAGGTTCACACGTGTTCCTTCAGTGAAAAAATGGTGTACAGACAATTTTTGTAAATTCATATCGAAGAAACATTAGCCATTCAATTTGTCTAATTTAAATCCGTTTGATATTAGTCTATGGAATGAATTAGAACTACATAACAACGAAGGTAACATTAATAGACGAAATAAAACGTTCTGTCAAAAAAATTGAAAACGAAAAAATTTCAAATTCTGTACGATTAGGTGTAACCAAAAAATGGAGAGAACTAATTTGTCAATTAAATTATACTATTTTGCGGAGAATTTCAAGTGCTATCTTTTGATAAAAAAAAAAGTGTTCCCATCAAATGAAGAATAGAAGAGAGATATTAAAAAAACAAACAGTCTAATTTATTTTTCGTCACTTATTATTTATTTATTTTTTTGGATATTACCTGCTGGATCCGATAGAACTTCCATAAGTGATTTTTCCTATTAAATTTATTTATTCAATCAATAAATAGCAAAACAGAAAAGAAATTTATTTACTTGAACTTGCTTGGTTATTAATTTTTCTTCTGTTTCAAAGAAAACATCTAATTTTCGTTTCTATTTAAATAAAAATTAAAAAAAAAAGAAAATTTCACATAAAATAAACTCATATATACTCACTTTGATATGATCAAGAAGTGCTGTAGCAATATTTGTATGTAAATCAAGTAATCGTTTTTTTTCTAATAATTCTGGTAATGTATTAACTGCACTTGTTAATTGACTTGTTGTATCATTTAACAAGCTTATAGCTAAATCTTCAGCATCACCTTTAATACCCTAGAAACATAAAAAAAATTTCTGTTTAAATATTAAAAAAAAAATTTTTTAAATAGAATAAACAAACCATTGCAGTTTTAAGGCGTTTAACTTCATCTTCTGATTGTCGATAACGTTCAAGTTCTTCTTGAATTGATTCAGCAACAATTGGAAAAGGACTAAATAAAAGAAAATAAAGAAGAAAATATTAATATGGTGTTTTATTGTTTTGTTAATCATATAAATTTTACTTACTTTCCTTTTTGTTGTTTCCAAAATTTATCAGTCGGAATCAGATCATATGTATGTCGTTTCGATGGACGTCGTCCATCACTTGTTGTAACTGCTTCATCAACTTCTTCAATTTCAACTCGATTTAATTTAAAATCCTATTAATTAATTAAAACAAGCAAGGTTCTTTTTTTCCTTAAATTAAAATATTTGCATCTATTTACTAGAACATCATGTGCTAATGCTTGATAAGTCCATGTATGATGAAGAAGTGATGCTAAATCAGTACTTCGATCTAATATAACAAGAAGAGGTCGTTGGAAACTGAAAAATAATAATAGATAATAAACAAATTCATATAACATTATTAAAATTATTATTTAAATAGAAATTATAAATATTCAATAGTAGAAATCAAAAATAATTTTAATAGTAGTATTAAATAGAAGTGCCGAGTGAAAATTTCAAGAATAATAAAAGTTAATGAGCTATTATATTCAATAATCGATAGACAAGACATTGACACATATTTTTAAACAAAGCTGTTAGCACAATCCTGGTGAGTTTGTTTTATTCTATCTATTTTCGGACTAGAAGTGTGCGAGACCAAGTCTTTTTTGATTCCGATCTAGAGAAACTCATTCCGGAGTCTATTCATACCACGTCTGAAAAAATACTTCAATATTCGTTTTTTTTATTTAATCGACCATTAGCATTTTCTTGGGTCATCTCTATTGAATTATGTTCTGATTGATATGGTTTATAAGATAATTCGCTGAAAATCATAGAATATTTAACTATAATCTTTAATCCCCGTCACGGTCTCAGTAACTTCTCTTTCCTGTTGTTGGGGTCCGAATCTCAATGATTGGATTCGGAACTAAAGTTGGTTCTGCACGTCTCTATTTGAAGTATATATTTTTTACCATTCCTTTACTTAATCCTCCAAAAATGCAAGAGGGAGGAGAGAATGTTACTAAGATGTCTGTCATATCTCTGTGAGGGTTCAAATTTTAACCTCTATCCGTCAACATTCCTTTTAAATAGTATTTCATAAAGTTTATGTGATAATTGACATGCCGTTTTAATGAATAAATAGCTTAAACTATTATCCTTATGCTTCATAATGTTAGTCAAATTGTTATATGATATTTAAATCAAGAAGATGCTGAGATTAGATTCTCTGTAAATCTTATTAGGTTTGATCAGCATCATGAAACAACATGATAATCATTAATGTTTTGTATATTCTTTGGAATAACGTATCATTCTAGTACATATTAGAAAAGATTTATGTAATTGATTGCCTCTAGAAATAAATTGACCTTATATTAATCTTTTCGAAATGGTCAGTCATTGACTGTCTTTAAATAGCGAGATGTATTATCCATTAACGATCGGAAATAGTCACACATGCTCATTGTACTGATATACACATAATGTTGCTTGCCCGTTCATAACTCATGTTTTCTCTTTTGTATGTTACATTGAATTTTTTTTAAAACTTCGTGCTGAAAAGTTAAAGTTATGTTTCGAAGTGCAAAAAAGGCACAATTGGCTATTGTTCTTGCAATACTTCGTTATTTTTCTACTTCATAAACTAATAACTAATTTCTATATTTTGCTCTAATTTTCTTATCAAGTTTGTATTACAAACCTTAAAGCCCCAGTAGCCATGGAATCCGATGTAAATAGACTATTACGAGGATCACGTAGATTTTCACGTAATTTTTTATCAAGTTTCTAGATTAATTAAAAATAAACAACAGGTTTTTATTTTTTATTTTTTTCGAAATAAAGTAAACAAACTTCGCCAACAATCTCTGCTGCTTCGCCCTTTGGACATCGTATAATTGGCACTGAACCTAAATAAATAAAACAATGAATTTTATTAATAATAAATTTTTATTATATACCAAGTGTAACACACACTGAAAAGAGACTATCAACTATAGTTCCAATAATTTGTTCCATTTCAACATCAAGCATTTGTGGTCGATTCAGAGCTAAAAAAAAAATTTTAAATTTTTATTTCTATTCTTTATTTTGAGAAAACTATTTACCATAATATGATATACTATCTCTTCCTGCTTGTCTCAAACAAAAAAGTTCATCTTCAAGTGTAATAAAATCAAGATATTGATCATAGATCTAATCGAACATAATAATAAATATAAGTTAATAAATACTTAGTTGTTTTTTCTAATTTTTACTTTAGCTATATTTTGTTGTGAATTTGATTCAAGTGCAGCTGTTGCTAAATCTTCGAGAAGATCACGTGGTATTGGAGCAATAAAATTTAAATAATATGATTCATATAAACCTTCTACTAAATCCTAGAAATAATTATAAAAAGAGACATAAAATTAAAATTTCATGCAAAAAAAAAATCTACTTACTTTTCCTATTCGAGATATATTATCTTTTGTTGGCATAATAAAATATACTGCAGCAATTTCATCAACAGGGTCACGATCTGATTTTAAAGATCTATCAAAAAACAAAAAACAATTCATTTATTTTATATTTTCATTCTATTTTAGACTAAATTATTTACATATGTAATGTAACACCAAGATCACGAAGTTCTTTAACAGTAAGTAAAGGTGAAATAATATCTTGACCTAATTCATCATAAATAAGAACTTTCCAAGCTAAATCTACACCAGTTGGTTTTAATAGTGTTGAAGGGACAGTATTTAAATTAAGCATTTGTTTTAGAGTAGCTATGTAAACAAAAATAAAAATAAAAAATAATTAATTATTTGATTTTTTTCTGCTCAAATAAAATAAGGTTTTAATTTAGACATACCAATATGACGATCACGTAAAGATAATGGTCCAATTGATGGAGTGGTCATTTTTGTACGAAATCAAACAAATGAAAAAGTAGATAGTCTAACAAATTGTGAATAGCACAGGTTGTGGCAATAGCAAAAGAGAGAACATTCGTTTATTTATTCGTTAGTTTTACTCATCCATTGGTAGAATGGACTGGGACAAGAGGGCGCTATCAGACGTAAACACATTTGCTTAACTAGAAAACAATGTTTTCGATATACTATCTATATAATGTCGAAAAACAACGCAAGATCTCGCCCCGATCGTAGAAGTCATTCTACCAGAATTCCCAATAGAAATCCGAAACAAAGCATAAATCGATACTTCGTTTCAATTGACAAAGTATCTGCAAGAACTGATCAATAAAAACAAAGACAAAATTATTACTACTAGCATCTTGTTATGAAAAATTTATTTCTATGAAAAAAACCAAGCCGAAAAAAAACATAGAGATAACAATAAAAATGTACACATATTCATATGATTACGTTTAAGAAAAACTTCTGGGAATTTATTTTTACTATCATATGTATAATAGATGTAGAAAAAAAAGATCAAGTGAAAGTAATTAATATTGTTCTTCTTCATGTTTCTTAATACATGCGTCGCGAGATCATGAAATTGATTCAATTGAGATGTCTAATTTCATTCGTTCACAAAGGTATCCCAACAAAACGATGAAACTCCATTGGAGAAAAAAGAAATTTTTTTTAAGATAGAAGGCGGTTCCTCCTTCGACTCTCTTCTCGCTCGGGATATACTTGTACATCCGAAAAGAACTAATGAAGAAAGTATGTACAAGAAACAAGATTAGAAACCTAAAACAAGAAAAAGAGAATAAAAGAAAAATATACTTTGCCAATTCATCTTTAATTAAAATATATAAACAACAGTAAGCCGAGCAACTTCTCAGTAATGCCACAACTAATAAACAAAATGCTTTTTCTACTCTGCAGAGTACCAGCTCGGTCCTTTGTTTTTACCAGTAAAATGCAAAACAATGTAATTTTTCAAAATTCTAAGCATCTTAGATTATCAGCGACGCCAAAATTTTTAGTCAGGAAAGGCTGAGCCTTCCTCAACCGTACTGTGTGATCACCGTTAGCAACAACTTTAAAAATTTTTTGGAGCTCAGTCGCCCTCTGTCTTCTGTGGCGCTTCGCCAATGCCTTGAGTCTTTTGCTTTTACTTGAGTACTTAACGGGAAATACTGCATTCTATTGGTCACTTTCTAGGAACCACTAGAAAAAGATCTATAGAGGACACACACAGATATAGATAGCAACGCGGAAGATTTCCGGTTCTTCTCACTTTACGCCTTGTTAGCAATACTGGTCAAGAAAGGATTAGCAGACATATCGAGTACAATGACTTAGCTCTCTCGACAAACACTTCTCTATATGCATTTACTGGACATGCTATATTCTTTCTTGTCAAGCAAGAGATGAGATCTAAATATCTGAAAAACTGGCGCAAATGCTATAAAAACTGCCACTGAATCTTCAAAAACGTTTCCAGCAGCTCTCTGTTTGTTTGCTGTAAAAAACCATGTAACTGTTAGATAGGCTATAGGATTCCGCATTGATTGATGCATGTTTAATGCTCGAGCAGATGGATGTTTGAAAGCTATACAGGATTTAATCAGCTGCAGTACAAAAATTTCACAAGGATTTTGCAGTTTATTTTTTGAGATTTTTAAATTGAACAATTAATCATTGAGAGAGATGCTGCGATATAATGTATATCTTAGGATTTCTTGATCAGTTTTCATTAGATAGCAGCTTCCGTTGGTAAAGGTATGGTTCGGCTTTTCAGTTGTTAGAAACATTCTTTTCTGTTATGATTGGTGCTAGCTTCAGATTAGATGAGACATTTTTATGGTGTATCTAAGACTTTCTGCGCGTTTCATTCTCTTGCGAAAGCAATGCTTGATAGGATTCTTGGCTTGTTAGGTACAAAAATAGATGGCGCAAGGTGATGTATAAATCACATTTTCATTTGTTGTATGTCTTGCATACTATTAGTGTTCGTGGCTGCTACACGTCAATCATAAAAATAACGTCACCTAACTGGATTGTTCCATTGATTTGTCATAACATGTACATGACGTGTACTACAAACAAGAGAGGTATTTTTCAAGTGATGGTGAACTGTTCGCTTTTACTTGTATAGTTACTCAGAAATAATTGCATATTTTTCCGTTATGTTTAGGTATTTTTTCATTGTGTACTATGACTCACTTTTTTTATTGTTTTCTTTGCATTGTGGCATTAGTTAAAATATATTTTAACGGTATTACATCATGATTGTGATCATTGGATATATACTATTTGTTAATTTATTCTCTAATAAATATTCAATGTAAGATATGTTTTTTCTTGTATTGTGAATTTTTTTTTAATATTTGTTTACGAATAATTCTAGAATTGAATGGCAAATTTGAAGACTACTGACAAAGAGGACGAAGTAAATTCTTATTTCAAAAGCTTTTTCTTTCCTAATCTGAAGAAATTGTTTTAGTATGTACTTCCTTTATCTTATCAATCGAATCTAGTCAATTTTATAATTCGTTTAACAGCAACTAATGAAGTCGTCAACAATCAATACTATACTAGTCCATATGCTCATTGTAATTTTTCAACTAGTTTGTCCAGTTCTAAACAGACTGACGATGGTGAAAATGAGACAAACAATTACATCAATGAATTTCAAAAATATCAATGGAGTAAATACGGTTGTACCATGCCAAAAAATTGGATTGATCCATTCGAAATATATGATTAGAGAGATTTATAGGAAAAGTGTTTATTCTATATATATTTGTAATTTTATACAGTAACTTTTTTTTTTATTGAAACTAAGATACAATATGTGTTTGATATATGATATCATCATTTTTAAATCATGACTCTTAAAATTTACAAAAAAACAAAAGTTTCAAATACAACCACACAATAGAATATTGTTGAAACATGTACTTCACTTTACGTATCTCGATGCGAGAGAAATTTAATAGATGTTTGCTACACTAATATAAATATATGAAATCATATCACTTCTTGAAATCCAATATGACTAGTTTAGATTATATGTAATCGGATATCATTACTAGTTTTGATTTTTTATCAAATCTGAAAATAATCTTTGGTAGAGTGATTGACAATACTCTTATTTGATTTGAAGATCTTATTGTCTTGCATACTGCATACATATTGTTGTACTAAAAATTGTCTCATGTTGAGTAAAGAAATATTATCATCTTAAGTTTTCATTTGCTCTAATGATGACGAAATTTGTATAGAATGAGTTGATTTTTGCTATCGATTCAATACATCGATATCAAATTACATTAATATTATATGCTAGATCTAAATCAAAGAATGTTCAAAAAACGATTAATTTGCCTCGACTCAAAACAAAACTGATTTGAACAGGCCGTTTAAAACTGAAATTGGAACTCACATATGTTCTTTAACCTCATTAAACTAATACAAAATAGGTAAATTGAAAAATCTCTCGTAGACTATAGTTGTTTTCCAAGATAATCGACCAATAGAGTAAAGATATGTCTTATTTATTTCTACATTTCGAAAAGAATTTTTTTCTTTCTTTTATGGATGCTCTATTTTTTGTTTGCAATTGTTGCTATTCGCTCATTACTTTTCTTTTCGTATTTCATGTTTCTTAATTTAACATTGTTATTATTATAAAACTTGAATTAAATGGCAAATAAAGCTATTGTATATATCCATGATATCTATAGGAGCATGTCTTAAAGCACTATTATATATCTCGAGCATCTCACAATTACTGATATTGATTACTTTTCAAAATTATAACTTTATAAATTCACGCTTTTTATATTGATCATATGACACCTGTGGTAAATCAATATGTCACTATTCATCATCGTTGGCAGCTTGAATATAAATTTTTATCTGAACTAAAATCAAAAACTGCACTACTTAAAACATTCACAAACGTATTTCAGTCATTCAAATTTCGACGAAGGATTTGGAATATTTTCAAATTTTCTAGAACAGTCTAAGTTATGTCATTGATGCCGTTCAACGCCTTTCTCGGTTGCTAATGAACTCTGAGAAAGGAGTCTGATGCCAGTTGAGCTAGATTGCTACAGGCTATTATGCGGGGAGGGGACGCAAAATCTCGACTTGAAGTTTACACTCACTATTTTCTTCGAAAATATACGTGAGTTTCACAAAAAAAAATGGTACGATATATAACTTGCAAGAGGATTTCATGCATGCTACTAAATCTAAAAAAAAAGATTTCATATCCGGTGCAATTCTCGAAATTATTTTTTGTCAGTATGGGATTGAAGTCAATTATGGTGGCCTCTATTTTAAATACTGTTTTGATAGGTTAATGCTATTAAAGAACGAAACAAAAACTGAACTTTCATATTTTATCTTTTATCGTCCTCTTCGATTTTATTTATAATTTATTTTATTTTTTGGGCCACACGAACGAAAAAAGAACAGAAAGCAAATGATCATTAAAAAAAAGCATTTCATCTTTTTTATCGTTAAGGTTGACGAAAGACACACTTGAGTGAATCACACAGACATATACATATATATGCATATACACGTTGATAGATGCGTGTTTCTACATAATATTATATTACGTTATTTGATGTGTTACTTGTATGCTGCTATGAAGTGACTAAATTACTAGTATACAACAAGCAAACGAAAGTTGTGATCGCCTCAATTTATAAATTATAGCAAGGCTGTTCAGAGTGGAGAGAGAGAGAGAGAGAGGATTAGACGAGTGTTTTTTTCTCTCTAATCTCAGGAATTTTTTATTTTTCTTCGGCAGAACTACACGAATTTTTCTCTGTGTTTAGGGATGCTCTGAGTGGAGAGGAGAGATCGGGGGTACAATTTCTTCAATCTTGAAAAATTATTGTCTTTCTACGGCGGAGTTCCAGAGTTTTATTATGTTTTTTGCTCATGGATTCCAAAAAAAACTGCTCAAAGTTCTCTCCATCAAAAACAAATTCGATCAAGTTTAGCAAAAGTTTTCCATTTGACTTCCTGAATTATCGACCTCTCGCCAATCCTGATGACCTCATGACACCCCTCTCTGCTTGGCTTACCAATACTCACAACACCGACCACCTTTCTCGTTCCATATCGTTATCGTCAACCCTACTTCCTGAATCGTTGGTATTTTCTCAATCCTAGTGATCTCGAAACACCCTTAATTGTAATGTATTTGTTTCAGATGAAGAATATTATAATTTTAATTTTGATTCATATTTTTTATTGCCTCAATGCAAAATTAACCACACTTAGTACATGTAAAGATTGTCGTGGAAAAATTCATACAAAAGAAGATTTACAATTAGCTAAACAACCTTTAATTATTAATCAAAATCTGGCTTGTCACTATGCAAAAAATAAATTTTTTATTATTGTTAAATCAGGAACTTTTCAACGACGAAATTTTACACGTTCTACATGGGCACGAGAAATTAATGAACGTTTTGATATAGCTGTTTTATATGCTATTGGATATCCAAAAGATCCTGCTATGCAAAAAGAAATTATTGATGAAGATGAAAAATATCATGATTTATTAGAATTTAATTTTCTTGAAAGTTATTATAATTTAACATTAAAGACAACAAGTGTTTTAGTTTGGTATGATAAATATTGTTCGAGTAACAGTGATTATCTTTTGTATGTTGATGATGATATCCTTATTCATGCTGATAAATTAGTTCTATATATGAATCAAATTACTAATAATGATACACTCGAAGGTTGGTTTGAAAAATCTGGAAAAATTCAACGTAAAGGTATTGGTGGAGTATCAAAAGAAAATTTTCCTATTGATATTGTACCAGATTATTTATGGGGTGCTGCAGTTTTATATCCATCAAATATAATATCAAATTTATTAATCAAAGCTATATTTAATACAACAATACCAATATTTTTTCGTGATGATGTTTTTATTAATGGTTTCATAGCTGAACAAGCTGGTATTAAACGAAAACATATGAAAGGAATTTTGACATATGATCAAACAGAAGATGATTTAAATACTAATATGATAATAATTGATTTTAAAAATGAAGAAAGTCGTGAAAAAGCATGGAATTGTTATAAATATAATATTCAATGTAATAAAAATTTACCATTATTATTATTCAGAATTTTTGTTGGAATAAGTTTATTCATAGTAATAATCGGTTATTGTTGTAAATATTTTAGAAACACGTATTATTATGAGCAATTAAAATATGAATTTAAATTTTGTTATTATGAAACCCATAATTGGTTTAGGCAAAATATGAATTTAACGTTGATGATGAATAGACGACAACATTCGACAGGTGTAATTCAAAAGGTTATATTAGGTATTCAATGGTTGATTAATTTGAGACGAATGAGTAAACGGATAGTTTTCATTTTTATTTTTATTATTGTTTTGTGTTATTTCATAAAAGAAATAATTAAATAATTTTTATTCATTTAATTAAATAGTAAAATTAAGTTGCGATTTATATAAAACTGAGCGAATTGTTTTATCAATGAAATCTATTAAATTTTTCTATGTGTGGAATCAATGTATGATGGTTCTGTTTGCTTAAATATTGGATCAACAAAAGCAAAACACATTGTGACAAAGAGTGTTAAACAGATATTTTTATATCGGTTTATTGTATGTAGGATAAAATGATGATAATTAGAGATTAGTGTCAGACGTAGTGATACTCAGAAGGATTGTAGTTATCGAATCAAACTTTGTTTTAGCCGTCATTGAAACTAAAACGAACGGTCCTGCTTATGTCTAATTAGAAATTTATAAAGGAGGACGGTAGTAGTTGAATGAATTATTGTATAGTAGTAAAGTATTGCAGACGAATAAGTAGCGATAATAAATTCTTTTAAACCTGTCTCCCACTGAAAGAAGTTAATTTTCTTTAGAAGAATCGAAATTGAGATAAATGCATGGAAAAATAGCTCGAGGTCTTATCTTTCATAAGTGATATGATTTTTATTGGGGGCATCTTATGCTTAAAAAATATATCGTTTCCACAAAAAGCAGGAAATATTTTTCGCTTTTTCTCGGTTTGTACTTTTCTGATCTTACATCACAGAGATCTCGAAGGAGCTTCATTATAATCGATTATTTTTTTATTGTTTGAAAGAGTATGTGAAGCTACAGTGCCCATTTTTTTTTGAATTAAGCTTTTTTTTTCATTATCAGACAAAGAAAAAAGCATTTTTATAAACAGATAATCATTTCTTGAAGTATTAAACTTGTCGCCCCTTTTTCTCTGCATAATATGTAAGAGTTTAAAAAAAGAAAATTAAAAAAATTAAATCTATAGAATGAGGGCCCACCGAAAATTTTGCATTGCCAAATGAACCATGTTTGATTCTTGCTTGTTCAATATTTCTTGAAAACGTGATGATATCAAGCTGAAAATTTTACAATAATCTATCCGCTATAACTTCAACATACTCTGAAAATTTCATGCAATTGAAATTTATTGTGGAACTTTTTCTGTGTTCATTAGAACAGTGAACTTTAGAATTTATAAATTAATTATCAATACTATCGTGACAAAATCAAAAGCAATACAAATTGCTAAGATGTTCTTGATTTATGTTCAAAAACTTCTTTATGATAAATACAATTCTTGATCAAAAGTCTGTCATTGATGTCTATTTGTGTTGATCTCATTATGATAAAATTCAATTTTCTTGGCTAAATATAATGGCATGAAGAGATTTGGAAAAATACTCTTATATCTAAAATGTTTTTTAGCATACCAAATTTATATTTAATTATTGGCATATTCATGTTTTCTCCCTTTCCAGAGCATATCAAAATCTTTTCTTATCTTAATAAATAATTATTGTCATATTATTCTAAATATATTTACAATTGACAAAAAAACTTAAAAGGACAGAAAAAAAAAACATTGAAATTAGTGATTCATTTAATAAATCATATTTATAATTGAAATATAAATTAAAGGATTTGTCTTAAATAAATAACAGATGACAGATGTGTCTTATAAAATAAAAATAGAAAATACACACTCATTTGTAGATTTATTTACAGACTAAAACATTATATATCTATCTATCTATATATATATATATATATTTATTGTTGTTTATGGTTTGTTTTTATTATTCATCATTTTCTAATGATGGTTCAACTGTAAGTGCACTTCCATGTCCACTTCGTTCTCTTGTTAATGGTGTTCCAAATGTCCATTCATCTTTTTCAGGATCATAAACTTCAACAACAGACGAAAAACGTTTACCATCATAACCACCTAGAGCAAAAAGACGTTTATCAAGTGTAACACAACTAAGCGCTGATCGACGACAATTCAATGGTCGTACTAACGACCATTGTTGTGTTAATGTATCATATCGTTCAACAGTATCAAGTTGCATTGGTCCATCAACACTATCAGATGCATAACCACCAACAACATATATACATTCAGCAAGAGGAGCAGCTGCTGCACCAGATCGACCAACTAAAAGTGGTTTTTCACGTTTCCATGTATTCGTATCAGGATTATAAGATTCAACATCAGCTAATCGTCGATGTCCATCAAAACCTCCAATAGCATATAATAATCGACTATGTGTACAAACGGCTAAGCCAATACGTGGTACATGCATAGGAGCAACTTCGACCCAAGTTTCTGAATCTGATGATGTTGAATATCGTTCAACACTTGCATATAATTGTTGACCACATGAACCACCAACTGCATAAATACAATGGTCAATTGTACCAACACCAAGACGATTTCGAGCATAAATCATTGGAGCAGCTGTTGTCCATTTATTAACAAATGGATCATAACGTTCAACATCACGACAATCTCGATTTTCATTTCTATAAATAATGCACAGAAAAACTTGATGTAAAATAAAATAGTATACAATTCACATTTGATAAGAATTTTCAACAAATGAATGCATAGAAAATTACTTTTTTTTTTTATAAAACATATACAGATATGAAGTATATATTGTAGGGATTAGATTGGGTCACAAAATTCATTTTACTATGAAAAGTAATTAACGTGTGAGAGTGTGGGTGTATTTAAGGGTATGTGATGATGAAGACAAGAGCCTAACCTAAACTTATACCGGCATCCATCCACATCGATACCCACACTGACACCCTCTATGTCAATTTTATCGATTTGTTTTTCACTTACATCATTGTGAGCTAGCTAATGTTTTATTTTAAATATATTTTAAAACTCAAAGAGATATTATAATAACTACTTTATTACACTAATTCAATTTACTCAATGAAGTATTTGCGAATGATTAACAATAATAAGATGAATCTTCTGATCTAAGACAACCCAAAAAAATATACACTTCATTTCAGTATTCTTTTAATATTAAAAACCAATTGTTTGCATTTATCTCTCAAAATACTAAAATAAATTTCCACAAAAATTTTTTTCATAGTCATTTCATTGGAATTTCTTGGAAATAGAAATTTATCAATTCATGCAACAATTTGAAATAGTATTTCAAATATTATTCCTAATCGATAGAATAAAACTATTCACCTTATATTACATTTTCCACCGATAACATAAACACGCATATGAACTGAAACAACTCCAACTCCACTTCTAGATAGTTGTAAATCTGCACATCGTTTCCATTTTTGTGTTTCTAAAAAATAACATTCCATTGTATTGATTGATTTATTGAAATAGCCACCAGCACAATCTAAACATTTAATTCATCATCAGAACAGAAAAAAATTATAGAATAAACTCTTAAACATACAAATAACAAGCGGTTTAATTGGTGCACGATGTGGTGGTAAACGGCAATAACGATGTGATGTTAAATTTTCATATGCATTTTCTAGATAATCTCGACAGCGTTGCATATCTGCTGGTGCAAATTCATCACAATCAATAACACCTTTAAGAAAAGATGGATCAAGAAGTTGAAGACGAATACATGGCAAAATTTCTACAAGTTCAGCACGGCGATTTAATGGATCATGACGAACCCATTGCATAGCTGCCTAAATAATAACAATTTATAATTATCAAGAAAGAAAAAAAAAAACTTTCTATATTTACATTATAAATAATTGATTCACATTTAACTTTAAGTTTATCATCTTTAATCAATGAGCATAAATCAGGAAAACTAAGTGAAAGAAATTCTTCATGCCGTACAACATCTTCAAAGTGTTCATGAATATAATGTTGAGCAGCTTCAATTAATGGAAGACATTGATATTGTTTACCATATAATAATAATCCAACACAATTAGACGCATGTAATTGATCACGAAGATAAACAACACATAATTCAATTAATTCATCAATTAATAGTGGAATTGAACATGTTAACACCGGCATAACCTAATGAGAATATAAATATATTATTATGAATATTTATCTTTTGTAAAAAAAACCAAAATTTGTACACAAAATGCAGTATTTACAATAAAATAATATGATAATACTGATTTGTTTCACAGGAAAAAATAAATAAGCCATGTGACAATGATGAAGTATTCAGTCTGTCGGAATAAAAATTATTCTTTTTAATAAAAACTATGTATCTAAGATCAAAGATAAACAAATAATGAGAACGTTTACAAATAATTCTGATGTTAATGAAAGAAAATATTGAGATTCAAAAAAATCAGTAGAGAATAATAATGATTCTCTTTTCTATTTTAAATTTCGTAATAGAAATTAATTTAATACTCTTTTTTATAATTAAAATAAAAACATAAATTTTCTATGTGCTCTTGTGATTAGTAATTAAATTAATTTAACCTACACTTTTATCATTGAGTTGTACTTGTGAAGTATAAAGAAAATCTAATATAATATTCATTGCATAAGGACAAGGTACTAATTTAGTTAAATCAATATCTTCTGTTGTGTGTGCTTCAACATGACCAGATTGACCAAACATTGAAGCAAAATACGATGATGCTGATGCTAAAACAATTTTATGTGCTAAATGTCGTTGACCTTTTACACATAAACTAACATCACAAAAAAGTTCTTGTTTTCGATACGCATTCATTGTTTCGATAAGACGAGCAGCTCGATCAGTTTTTAATTGATAAAGACGATCTGAACCTGATAGAAGTTTCATTGTATATTTTCCCATGTCAAATTCATTCAAATCATTCATCGAAAGAAATCCATCAAGTTCGTCGATGTCACTTGTATCTATTTGCGAGTGCCCGTTTAGCATGACAATGTTTTTTCTTTTTCTAAAACAAAAAAAAAATTGATACAGAACAAAAAAAAATTTCTACAATATTCATCATGACACTAGCGAGTTAGCTGCTATTCGTCATTGTCAGCTGCAACTTATCGATGATTGTACAGATGAAATCTACTAATCATATACTAGTGATGACTTGTTTTAGATTTATTATACATTGATTGCAGACGAATAAATACATAACAAAAAAAAATATTATTTGATAATGAAATTTATGTTTTATTCGAATATAGATGTCGTACTTATGCAAATCGATCAATATATAGCATTGTATAGCATGTGGAAAGTATCTATATTGAACAAGTTTACGACTGTAGAATTAACATTATAAATACTAATAAACGATAGATTCTAATCGTTTATAAAAATATAACGAAAGTCTATCTTTAAGAGTTAGAAAACTATTCATTTGAACATTACAACTATTGAAAATCATTCTTCACAATAGTTAACGTTGATGAAAGGCATCACTGATTATATTTTTTAAAGATTAATTGAAAAAAAAAGACAATGCAAATTTTTTCATGTCATCATAGTTTATGTCATCAACTCTTAGATTACATAAAAGCAAGATAAGAAAAAGAAAACAGTTAGCTTTTATGAGTAACAACTGAAAACTAAAGAGAAAAAAAAGAACTTCATCAGCTACACAAATAAAATGTTTTCATTAATAATAATGGATTTTTTTCATTCATGTGCAGTATTATATTCATTAATTTTGGTTTTATTTTAAATAGTTTTAGTATTAATATTCGATTTCGTCTTAGATTACAGTCTATACTTCCAAAACATATCGCATATGCATTTCCTGAGATCAAGTTTATAAATGACTCAGTAAAAATATTTTTTTTATATTTTTTTTAAAGCCATTAATATATTTTAAGAAACAATAAATTGATCTCTTCATACTTTAGATAGAACTCAAGTATAATATTTCTTGTATTAAATATTGTAGTTTACTTTATTGTTTTACAAAATAGTAATACATATTATTATTATCTTTTTATAAAAAGACACAAAAAAACATAATGAGTGGCGAAAAAATACCTCTAACTGGATCGAATACAAATAATAGCTTTTATACTGGTAAAGAAGTATCGACTGGAGAAGTTGGTACAAGTAGAATATCGCGTCGTGTCCTACATGGTTTGACAATAATCCCTGTTTTGGTTGCATGTGGTTGTACAATATATGGAGCAGCTCAAACTCAATCAGCAGTTGTTGCATTACCATTTATTATCGTATTAATTTGGTTTTTTATACATTTCCTTCTTTTATATTTTATACAAAAGGACCACCATAATTTTCATCCACCAGCATGGTTTATGTTCGTTTCAAGCGGACATATTTTTATACAATCATTTATTGTTATTATTTTAACACTTGTTAAAAAACAAACTTGAAAATTAATATGCTTTTTTTCTTGTTAAATATGCTACAGCTTGGAATAAATCATACGTGTATGTTGTAAATTGTTCTAATGAATATATGTGATAAATAGATTTCTTGTTGCTATCAGTTATTGTAAGACCATTAATATATGAAGCAAGAAAAGTACATAAGTGCTTTCTATTGATCGCATTTAGTCACCCATGTCGTCGATTTTTTTATCGAAACCAATGATTGATCGTAGCTCAAAGAAAAAACGACGGTTCAAATGATTTACTCCTTTTCTATTAAGTTTTTAATAATTTTTCTAATAAATGAATATTTTCTGCCTTCACAAGATCAAATGCTACCTAAAAAAGGCGATTTTAATATGCCACAGTATATTTTGTCAGATGGTACTACACTTTTTGCCATTAGTTAGGTCTTCTAATTGACGACTAATGTGGTGCCACCATCTTTAATAAATAATCAAACTAGAAAACTAAGCGTAAACAGCCCATGTGGCTAGTATAGGTGACTACAGCACGTTCATATTTGAATAGGGACACAATTTTGACTGAAATCTAACATTTTTATAAGAGGTTAAAAATATTCATGCAGTGACATGTGTAAGAAACTCAAGCAGAAAAACCGCGGTTAACCGGTGGTTAACACGACATGAGCAATTTTCTGTGCAATCTACATGCAGGAGGAAAAAGATCAACACTTGTTAGAAAACAGATATATGTGAGTGATATCAATATCATATCAATAGACACTAAGACATGAAATGTTCTTTGCGTTTCAGAATCTAAGCTAGAGGATAATTTGAAGTTTCTGGTAATGTCATTAACCTTCTTCAATTGAAATTATCTGCAAGAAAGGTTATTATGATGAAGACATTTCAGGAAATGTAATAAAGCAATTATAGAACAACTACCTGAAAGTCCGAGTTAAATATTCGCTCATACTGTGTTCTGTTGTAATGCTATGAAGAGAAGCTATAATCTAATATTACATGAGAACATATAAGATGAATTAGGACATATAATACGATGTATCAACACAATACGCAAGAAACTATTTCGAGGACGAAGTAGAAAAAACTAACACAACACAGATACCACCAACGTAGGATTCATGCTATTTGAAAATACATGTTCTAGTACATATAGAGATAGTGAAGGTAGACGAACATATGTATATAGAATAGATTTTGTTATGTTATGAGCCTCATTCTTCTCCTATTTTCTCTTGTTCGCCATATTTAGTCTCCATTTCATCCGTAAAATAAATATCAAGTTCATTCACTTAATGATTAATAATTTATCTATTGTAACATCTAGTTGACGTTCGATGTAACACATATGACTATCATCATATAAATCTTTCAATGTATGTTATCTTAATTCTAATATAGAACAATCCAGTTCAAATAGATTTGTCCACTCGCATATCCTCATAAGATACTGACGAGTTTCAAATGCACTACATCATTTGCGTTTTGTTGCAGTTTGATCCGTAATTTTTTCTTTTGTTGTCATGCACACCTGTCAGACTTGGTCTCTTCCTACTATTATCACTGCCAGCAGGTAGACTTTATATATTACAATACAAGAAAGAAAGCATAACACAAACACTCATGCCGAAATATATTAATTTGTAGTATAATGTTTACATAATTTGCAATAAATATGTTAAACAAACTTGAATGTACAAATGAAAATTAAGTTTGTAGTGATATATAATAGCACCATACTTGAATTTATACAGCGTTTGTTCGCATAGAAAATCAGACTAACCTAAAATTCATATTATATCAAATAGAGAATACGCAGAGAATGATAAAAGTACATATATGACTAATAGATATCAATCTATCATATATGATAAATAAGAGATAACACATAGACATGAAAAAAATATGAGGATACAAAAAACAAACAAGTTTTCGTTTGGACTTGCAGTTTTTTCGGCTTTAGTATTTTCTACGTAGTTTCTAATATTTTCTTACATAGAAAAACAATGTAGTTGCATTTATTGACTTAGGTTATATGGCGCTTTATTATATTTATATAAATCATGTCTTTGATAATTTCTTTTATAGTTATTTCTATTCTCCATCAAATATATTCTATACCAAAATATATATTTTCATTACGTAATGATCATCATGATCGTATCCGTCAATTACTTCATATGAATTGTTCATTTCCGAATGAATATTCTCCCTTATTTATTTGTTCAAATGAAATTTTTTATCATGTTGAGTTTAATATAGATATATCATTAGCTCCATTTCAATCTCAATTAAATAAATGTGCAATAATAATTAAATATAATTATATATCAGTATTTGCAGAAAGAATAAATCAATCAGTATTCCTTACTTCACATGATATTAATCATAATAATCAAAAGTCCATTGTATTCAAACAACAATCAAGTCTAGCAATTGATGTAAGAAAAAGATTACATTGCTTTTTTT